AACTTGTTAACAAGCAACTTGCTCTTCTTTTTTTTTTTTAAAGCCCTGTGGCTTAAAATTTGTTTCAGTTGTTTGTTGTAGAACAAAACAATTAATTCTAAACACAGATTTTACACACATTACCATGCTTTCAAGTTGTTCTGAACACAAATTCACATAGAAATGTGCACCGTGTTGCAAAATTTATAGTAAAATTTAGCTCAAAATATCATCTATGTTTGAAATATAATGACTGGTTTGAATCATGGTTTGGAAAAAACACAGAGTCTGTGCCCATCATACATTGTGTGATTTTCTGTGAAATCTGTCAACTCAAACATGCAGACTGTAAGTCGGGGCAAAAATCTGTGCCAAAGTCTGTGATCTATGTAAAAACAGAGGAAATGAGCATGCACAGTTTGTTATCCAGTATTGGTCAATAAATATCGACCAATACAGATAAACTAGAACAGTCTCTAAGATCAGCTGATAACCCATATGGTGTCAACATGTCATACATTTCTACTAAGAAAAGTTATTTCAAAGTGCCAATACAGTGCAAGGCTTTAATGTTTAGGGCAGACCAGACATATGATGTATTTCATTGTCATTGTATTTCTATTCTAGATTACAACCAAGATGCCTCGCCAATGAGTGGTGGTGGTGGAGACGGCGGCTATGGTGGTCAGGATGGTGGATATAGTCAGGATGGTAGAGGTGGTCGTGGAGGTGGCTTTGGCGGTCAAGGAGTGGGTGGGTTTGACAGAGGTGGTCGTGGAGGACCCCGTGACAGAGGAGCAATGGGGTAAGCAAATATTCATGTCACGCACTTTTCTCATCACCTTCACCACATAAAGTCCACCTGTATGCATCAGCGTTTCATTTAGGGAAAAAGTAACAGGTAAAAGGTTCAAATGGAGCCAAAGGTGTTACACCATATCAACTGTCTGGGCTGAAAGTAAATGGTGGCCTAGACCTTGATTAACTACAGTTAAAATGTCTTGAATTATGGTGTAAAGTTACGGTTTACTTGAAATATTAACTTGGAGTAAAACTCAATGCAGAAAATGCATCCAATTATGAGCCAGAATGGTCTGGTGTATGATTTATTGGTGATTCTCACATTCATGTATTTTGATACATCGATACATCATGTTAAGTTGGTGCCGGTGTGCTGAATATTTCCATGTCTTCACCCTTCACAAGATGGAACCGTTCACATAAACTTGAAATATTAACTTGGAGTAAAACTCAATGCAGAAAATGCATCCAATTATGAGCCAGAATGGTCTGGTGTATGATTTATTGGTGATTCTCACATTCATGTATTTACCTAAAATGATACATCATGTTAAGTTGGTGCCGGTGTGCTGAATATTTCCATGTCTTCACCCTTCACAAGATGGAACCAGCCAAAGGTTCACATAAAATTATACAAAAACTAATCGAAAGTTGCAATAAATGACCAGGTCTTTAGTTCATCATTGACTTATCGATGGAAAAAATGAATGAATTATGGGTTTGGACGTGACCTGTCCTAAGTTGATAAGTTGATAATTTTACTACTTGTCTGTGGGAGTGCATCATATCACATGTTTGCCTTCACACGTCTACATTGGACCAGGAGTCCAGGAGTTTAATAATGTTATGTTGTTATATTTTTTTTAGGTTTTATTGACCTTTTGTTTACATATAGTGTTAAAGTGAAGTACATTGTTTTCATTATGATTTCACATCAGTAATGCTTTTATTATGTTTTAGTTTTCAAGTACATATAAGTAGGACTACTGATGATGGTATTCGGGTTTGATACTGTTAATATGTTCTGATACTGTTAAAAAAGTTAACATGCAGAGTATTGTGAACGACTGTATTGATTTAGCTTTCCTAGATTATTTTTTTTTAATTCACAAGTAGCATTGAAGTGTTTGACTTATTGGTGTAAATTGATTCGGTCTGATGTTTTAATGGAAAAAAACTTCTTCAAATCGCTACTTGAAAGTGAGGACATGAGTGTTAGAGTGCTAAAACGCTTGCTTGTTTCTGCTTTTGCTGCATTTTTCCCCCCAGATGCTAAAAACCAAAGTATTGGCACATGCATAGTATCAAGAACATACAGTCTTTCACAAACACCCCAAAATTGTATTAAAGTGCCCTTATTATGGATTTTTGAAAATTACCTTTCATGCAGTGTGTAACACAGCTCTCAGTGAATGAAAACATCCTGCAAAGTTTTATATCTGAAAGTGCACCATGTATATAATGTTGTTGTCTCTCAAAAGAAAGAGTTGACTCTGAATCATTGAAACGAGTTGTTTTCAAAACGAATCCCAAGCAGTTTCATGTTGACGTCAACATGAAACATCAGCATATTGCCCACCCACTTGTTACGCGCACAGACCTGGGAAAACTTGGTTTTCGAGTCGGTCTGAATGAAAATGCAAATTCATTCTTTGCCACTAGGTGCCACTTTTGGAGTGGTGAAATAGCTGTTTCCCCGGTAACGCTGTACACTAAGCAGCACTGCTTATCAGGCATTACAGGCTCATGATGAAATGAAAATGAGACCAATCGGACCAATCACCGCAGATTAGCGTCACACAAAGGAGGGGTTTGGAAAAAGGGAATTGTTGAGCGAATCGTTTGAGAGTCGTTGAGCAAATAAGGTAAAAATAAATGCATATTATAAGACAATGAAAGTGTTTTTTTGACCTTGCATGCATGTCAATGTAACAGTTCATAGTCACGGGAAGAAGGAGACGGGAACCGGCATTTTTGACCTTGCATGCATGTCAATGTAACAGTTCATAGTCACGGCAAGAAGGAGACGGGAACCGGCAAACATTTAAACAATTTAATAAAATAAACAAACACAAAATGAAAGTAAAGCGGCAGCCCCTCATGGACGACTGCCGCACACAAAACACAAAATAAAGTCCAGGCCTGGTCCGCTCTCATCTTTCACTGTCGTAGCTCCTCCTTTTATCCTTCCGGAGCTCCTCCTTGGGACTCAAGACCGGTGAGTGGTGCAGGTGTCGCTCATTATCAATTACTCCACCGGCCTCGCTCCGTTCCCACGGCTCTCGGCCGCGCCCCTCTCGTCACATACCCCCAGCGCCCCTCGCAGGCCGGGGGGTACTCCTGAGACTGCGCTCTACTCGCCCCCTCCTCCCTCCGGGGGAGCCGATCACGGCGGCCGCGATGTACCTGGGGGTAAGGACAGAGAGACGAGGCAAAAGAAAAGGAGACGGAAGGATGAGGAGAGACCGATATGAGAGAGGGGAGAGAGGAAAAGAAAAAAAATTATCGGTCTGGATCCCGGACACACTGCCGCTTGGTCCTCAACCGGCTGAGAGGCTCTCACTCGCGATGCCATGCGATAGTACTGGACATCTTTGGTGGACGGCCCACCGCTCCTCTGCCTCCTGGCGGATGGCGATGGCTCCTCCTGTTGAGGGCAGCCAGCAGCGAGTCCCCCGTTCCCTGCTCCTCCCCAATCATGGCGGACGGCAGCAGGCTCTGACCTCCTGGCGAATGGGGCCGACTCCACCGCTCCCTCTCGGACGGCAGCCACCCCTCCTCGACCCAGGAGCGTGGCAGCGAGCTCTCCGTCCCACCTCGTCTTCCATCATTCCAGATCTCCTCAGCACTGCGACCCCCCTCAGCAGCGAAGGCTCTTTGACAGCATGTCCCTCCTTCCTCCCGGGTTTCGGCACCAATGTAACACAGTTCGTAGTCACAGGAAGAAGGAGGCGGGAACCGGCGAACATTTAAAGACTTTAATAAAATAAACAAACACAAAATGAAAGTAAAGCGGCAGCCCCTCGCGGACGACTGCAGCACACAGAACACAAAATAAAGTCCAGGCCTGGTCCTCTCTCGTCTTTCAGTGTCGTAGCTCCTCCTTTTATCCTTCTGGAGCTCCTCCGTGGGACTCGAGACCGGTGAGTGGTGCAGGTGTCGCTCATTATCAATTACTCCACCGGCCTTGCTCCGTTCCCACGGCTGTTGGCCCCACCCCTCTCGTCACAGTCAACCTGTTGTTGGGGACTCCCAAAACCAAAATATGAACCTTTCATAACCCATAATAGGGGCACTTTAATAGGAAAGTTAAGGTTAAAATGTTACATTAAGATAACTATTTGAAGCAGCAGATGACAAATCCCATCTGGCTGTGATCCCACATTCTGGTCCACACCTTAAGGTGCTGTCATGTAAAAACACCTGTTCTCTAAATCTTCTCCATCCTCTCCTACAGGATTATTGTGTGTTGCAATGCTTTAATGAATCTTTAAATCTCCTCCTAGGCTGTTTTCTACAAGGTTCAGCGGTTTAGGCTTATTCTTTTGAAGAGGATAAAACAGAAACACAGGCTCTAGAAAGCTGGGAACTGGGAAAGATTAGTCAAGAATAAATTAGGCATGTGTGACTATCAATAAAAAAAAAAACTTATGGACAAAAAAAAAAAAAAAAGGTTTTGCATTTAAAGAATATTTAAAGATCCTTTCAAATCTTAAAACAGTATGGAACAGTTGGATTCATCCAAAAGGGGGGAGAGTGGTCATGTCTCTATTAATTTAAATGCAAAACTGAATGCAGTGTGTGCAGTTTCTGTCCAAAGTAACAGAACATGGATAATGTTTGGGTGAATGTCCTGGGCTAAAGATCTGATAAAAGAAAATAATTAATTTGGTGAAACAAAATGATTGAGTTCACAGATGCACTGCAAATCTGTACGGTAAAAAATATGGTAATTCTTTTGAGCAAAATAGTGGCAAAATGGTTATGATATAAGGGCCCGCATGACTTTGGGAAGGAAATATCAAAAGGGTTTCCCAGAAGCCCTTATGGGTTATGAGGAAAGGTGAACCTAGTGAGAGGGGACGGCAGGGATAGGGGCAATGGGGATCTTGTAGAAAAGATGATGGAGATGGGTGGGGCCTTTCCAGCCTCAAGAGTGAAATGGGGCACTACCCTCATCAACCTTCAATTCGTCTCGCTTCTCTCTCCTTCTCCATCAGAATGGGTGACCGTGGAGGATTCAATAAGTTTGGTGGTAAGTGACAAACTCTTTAAACAAGGAAATTAAGGGGTTTAAAGAGAGCCTGGTCAAAGAGGGAGGAGTGGGCATCTGGTTGTGTCACAGACAAATGTGCATTAAAAGAATACACTGAAACGAATGTGGTAACCACTTGGTGTGTGTGGTAAACAACTACGCTTTAATAGATTTAGCAACAGCATGTTCATTATGGATGGTTAAGAAAGAAATACAAACTCGTTTGAAAACCGTCATAGAAAATCTAAAAAAATCTTAAAGGGATATTATAAAAAATTAAAATGTATATGTAATTATATAAAATTCTGTAATTTGCTTACGCTCATGTTGTTTAAGTCCAAGCTACTTTTTCTTCTGTTGAACATAACTATTTTTATTTTATTATATTATTTTATTTATAATTAATTTAGACATAATTAGAGAATACAATTTTTTGGGTGAATTATTGCTATTATTTCAACATTCTTTCTCTTGTTAATGTCGCTACACACTTAAGAAAATATTCTCAATATAAGGAAAAAATATAAGGAATATTTAGTAATAGGACTCTATTGAGATCTTGAGCAGACTCAGAAACATGGTACAAAATGGTTGATACGTGATGGTTTTTGTGACTCCAAATGGATTGTTGTGGTTTATTATGCACTTTTATCAAAAAGCACCATTCTTTAGTTGATATGTGAAAAAAAAAGTCAGTTGTGTTGCAAAAAATACTTTTTTCAAAACTTGCACCTACTGTGGCAGTATCGTTTTGTGGTGGTTGGACAGTAAAAGTGATACGCACATACCTTTATCAGCTTGACTGTTCTTACAATGCATGTAATGCCTCCAGAAGTCTGGGAGAATATTGGATATTAAAAAATATTCATCAATTTTAATGAAAAATTCCTGTACCTTTAACTGATTTTTATTTTACGGGGCCAATTTTTTTAACAACCACACTAAAATAATATTGTTCAAATTTACCTTGAAGAATCCAATACATTTTTTTTTTATTGTTTTATTTATTTTAAATGTCACTTTTTGTTGCACCCAACTTGTACTCTGAGCACTTTTGCTTTTTAAAGGGTGGATTCAGGTGGCCAACAACTGGATTCTAGAGGTTGTTCAAATCCATTTGTGTCAGGTGGTTTTAGTGTTTAGTACTTGTCTGATAAAGGTCCTGATGGAATAATTCAACAGAAACAAGTATATGATCTAAAACAACAGGAATGGAGACCTGGAGATAGATAGGGGTCAATATGACAAAACATGTTCACAATATATAACAATTTGGAACATGTGTAACTTGTTCATAATTGTTTGAACATGACAGCATCGGCTGGAAACCAACATGTTTGTGTTCTCCACATGGTTTCTAACTGGTAACTACGTCGAATGGCATCTAAAGTTATAACAAGGTGTTGAAACTTATCTGGCTAGCTCAAATACAATTTGATATGCAACCAGATCCGGTGAAAATTGTCATGGGTTTCGTATGGAAAGAATATTTGCTGAAGATGATGGATTGTATGGCGAACTTCAAGGTGATTTCAAAGCTTGCTACACTTTGGGGTTAAGGAACATCTGGCTGTCTAATACAGTGAGTCATGGCCATATTTCCTAATACTGAAAGTACAACATTTGGGTTTCAGGAATTTTTTTTTTTTTTTTTAAATATCTTCAGATTAGACTGGTAAAATGTGTGAGATGGTGGTTCATCGTTGATCATGGTAATCTTCTTTAAACGTCAGTGGTGTTGGTAACTGATGGTTTGACAAATTACTTGCACTTGTATAAAAGTTGTGAAAAATGGTTGCTTAACCTGGGAAAATCTAATATCTAGATGTACTCAGAGAGCAAAAGCAATAACACAACCCAGTGTCTGACTGTTTGGAAATCTGCTTTCGTGGGGTGGAGAATGAGAACCTTATCATATGGCCAATAAACGTATGGTCATTGATGAAATGTGTCCAAATGTCACGTATTACTGTGATGTGCAGTGCTGATGATGGAATTACTCCTCATTAAAAAGGTGAATGTTACTGGTTGCAAAGTGGTATCCAGTTGTATTTTAAGGTGGAATATTAAAAGTTGTCCTTATTAGCTGTGCATGTTTTAAAGTTGACCAAATACCTACAACTAATAAAGATGACAAGAAACCAACAACAACAAAAGACCCAATCGCTGCTCTTTGCAAAGCTAACTGTAAAAGTATGGTTGAACTAGACGGTTATTGCATGGTTTCCGCTTTGCAATGAGGGATAAAAAGCTACTACATGGAGTTGTCTGAGATGTATTTCGGATTGCCTTTTGAGTATAAATCAAGCTACAACTATTGGTATGGGAGGAAAGAATCTCCCACTTGAGACCTCGGACTTATTCAAATGTTGGCCGGTTTTCATCAGTTTTGAAAATGTGTAGTGTTGGTTGGTGCTTGTGGTGTTCCTCTCTCAAATATCCAGCTACAGATTTGCATCAGTTCCTGTTTTCTAAATTTGGAGCATACATTATATATAATTGATGGTACAGAAGTATATGACCCCCCCAAAATGATTAAGAATGAGTAATATAAGCGCGTGTAATTTGTGTACATATGTAATATTAATGACTGTTCCTTTCACTTCAAAGGGCCCAGGGATCATGGAGCTGGTGGGCCCAATAGTAAGTCAAAAACATAATTGTATATTACTTGCATTAATAGACCATTTTCCAGCATGATTATAAATTTCAGAATTTTTTTTTTTTTTTTTACAGTGCAGGAGCAGGATAACTCTGACAACAACACCATCTTTGTTCAAGGTCTTGGAGACGACTATACCGTGGAGTCAGTAGCAGATTTCTTCAAACAGATCGGCATCATCAAGGTGGAAAACCGAGAGAAAACTCCCACTGTGTAGCAACTATTTTATATAGTTCTTGTCTTAATATCATTTTATTTTCTCACACAGATCAATAAGAAAACAGGATTACCCATGATAAATCTGTACACAGACCGAGAGACAGGGAAGCTTAAAGGGGAGGCTACTGTTTCCTTTGATGACCCCCCTTCTGCAAAAGCAGCCATTGATTGGTTTGATGGTATGTTGGTCAGAGTAGATCACACTAGTGCCTTTTCCCTAAAACAAGTTTGGAGTCTGTTTGTTTTTGGTTATTTTTTTTATTTCCTGGACATCTAAGTCACATCTTTCCTCCTCAGGTAAGGATTTTAATGGAAATCCTATCAAGGTGTCCTTCGCTACTCGCAGAGCTGAATTTGGACGCGGCGGTGGCAGCATGAGAGGTGGTCGAGGAGGTAAGATTATATCTCACTGTGGTATTTTAAGTTGTCTCCTTTTTTCTTTTAGTCTTTGTGTTGTTTTCCTGACATGGTTTTCTTCTCCTCTGGCAGGGCCAATGGGCCGTGGGGGATTTGGGGGTGGAAGAGGTGCTGGTGGTGGTTTCCCAGGCAACAATGGTGGCGGTGGTGGTGGCGGTGGCCAGCAAAGAGCAGGAGACTGGAAATGTTCAAACCCGTAAGTGTTGGATTGTAAACTCTTAACCAAATTTTGAAGCGTTTACAGTTACATAATACAAGTTATATATAGTACACTCACGTAAAGTATTAGATACTATATCAAATCTCAACTGGCGGCTTTAACATTGTGTATTGTTGCTTTTCTCTTGTGTGTGGGCAGAACTTGTGGTAATTTGAACTTCTCATGGCGAAATGAGTGTAATCAGTGCAAAGCTCCCAAACCGGAGGGAAGTGGAGGAGGAATGTCACCGATGGGAGGTAAAGAGAAACATTTCTGCAAAAAAGAACAAGATGCTGCAGTCGTATGTGACTGAGAGAACTCAGTGGATTGATTGCTGCTTTAATGTATCTGATTTTGTAGGTGGTTTTGGTGGAGACAGAGGCAGAGGTGGTTTTGATCGAGGTGGTTTCCGCGGCCGTGGTGGCGATCGAGGGGGCTTCAGTGGAGGGAGGGGAGGTGACCGGGGAGGATTTGTGCCTGGCAAGATGGACTCACGGTGAAATTACTGATGATTCACGCTCTTGCACATGTTAAAATGTTATTTAGTAGAAAACTGATTTTCAGTATACAGTATTCACCAGTGAAAAATGTATTTCATTGCCTGCGTTGTGTGTTTTTCAGTGGTGAACACAGACATGACCGCAGAGACCGGCCTTACTAATGGGAGAAATTCTCTTTTGTCCAAACAAGACTTTAATTCGATGTGGGACCAGTATTCACTCCACTTCAACATGTATTACCCTGTTGCTCATGGTTTGTGTTGTATGTTGTCAAAAATTAGTTTTTTTTTTTTTAGTTCTGCTAATATAATTTTTTTGTATTCTCTCTATTCTGATATTGTTAATCATGAATTTTGCGTTTTTCCTCTCTGAATTTGCTGGTGTTTAGATCACAGTTGTAATATTTGTGCAATTTATTAAATGTACTTACTTTGAAATTTTTTGAAAAATGTTTGAAAATAGCAAACTTGTAATGTGGCATTACTTTATTTCAACATATTTTTATCCTACTCAAATGCTTTATCTATTGCTTTAAGTAGAAAACAATCAAACAAATGGTTTATCTCTAAATGAATAATTTTAAATACAGGTTTATTATAGTCAAGTAAAACAAACAAACAAACATTTATTACTTTTCATTACATTTATTTTCTTTAAAATAAACATTAACTGAAATTCATTTCATAATAAATTCACTTCATTTCAGGTGTTTGCCAAGGTAACACTTGATATACTAAAATAATTAAAAACTATATTTAAAAAATAAATAAATAAAAATTACAAAAAAAATGAAAATATAAAAACAAAAACAGTCAAAATATCAATAAAACCTATCATATTTAAACATTCAATTATACGAAAACAACTGCCTAAAGATTAATGGCACAACGTTTTCACAATAGTAATTAGTTTATATTTTAAATAATAGGAAGGCATTTAATTGTCAAGTGACAAAAATGATGGTGAGCTTGAGCCTTGAGGTGCATCCCAGTTACTCAGTGCACACTTGTCTATAGAGGACCAGATGGCTATAAAAGTATAACATGACTCCCCTAAACGTTATTTCTAATCAGTCCTCCTAGAACATTGAAGCTGATGCAGGCACCAAAACCACTGTCCTTTGAAAGGTGAATGAAGGTGAGACCACAGCACAACAGTGCAGTTCTTGAGGAAGTGTGAACTCTCAGACCTCCAACTTTAACCCCAGGAGTCTCTTAGGTTGTTAGGAGCCAACAAAAACACAGGTAAGAGAAAGAGATTATACTTGCCTGCCATTATATTCACTACCTTATGTCGCACTATTAATACCCTTCCATTTTATTAAAGAAAAACAAACAATACATGTTTAATTACCTGTGAGATTGTAGCAGCACCACCTGCTGTCCACTAACGTGTAGGGGTTTCTGAACTTGTGGATATAACAAGTAAGAATAAAAAAATTATATATGTAAAATGAAATGAAATGAAATAATAATGACTAAAAATATAATCCGAAAGCTCGGATATTCTCGAACACAGGTAAGAGAAAGAGATTATACTTGCCTGCCATTATATTCACTACCTTATGTCGCACTATTAATACCCTTCCATTTTATTAAAGAAAAACAAACAATACATGTTTATTAATTACCTGTGAGATTGTAGCAGCACCACCTGCTGTCCACTAACGTGTAGGGGTTTCTGAACTTGTGGATAGAACAAGTAAGAATAAAAAAAATATATATGTAAAATGAAATGAAATGAAATAATAATGACTAAAAATATAATCCGAAAGCTCGGATATTCTCGAATTTGTGTGCTATGTATAGACTATAGTATTTTCTCTCCGTATCTGAAACACGCATGCGCCAATATCGTTACCATATGTTGGACAATGATTAATAATCTCATAATTTATCATAATGTTCTCATAATGCCTCCCAGGAGTCTACAGGGGCAAAAATGCTGCAGGGCTACTTTATATATCATACTTGTGATATTCCTTTGCATTGTTTCTTTGAGTAAATTATTATATTGCGATTATACGAGTTATTTAGAAATACGAGAAAAACGATTATTTTGTATTATTAAAGTTTCTTTTGCAGCTCGTTTTACTCCCAATTTATCGGTCGTAGTAGTTGTGAGGAAATTGTTTCTGCGCATAACTCCTAATCCATGTGCACCCTTCTTCTAAATTTGTCGTTTTTACCGTTTAATAAAGTAAATAATATTATACATTTGTCGTGCAATTGTTATACATCTTAACAAAGGTCTTGCAATATTTACGAATAGAAAAGAACCTTTCAAGTTCGCACCTCGATGACGTAAAAAAATGAAACGAAAATGCAGATTCGCCATAAAGAAGTCACGCTTACATCGGTCAAACACATTTTGTGCTGTTCTCAGAAAAGTAAAGGCAAGAAAATAATTTAATGTGAATGTATATTACAATTTTAAGTTTCATGAGAACAAATACCTACAATCTATTTTAACGTTATTGGTCAAACGCTGCATAGCAGAGGCACACAGCCGGAAATTGTGTGGAAAGTGCGAGTGCCAATGCAACGGTTAGTATTTCTAGTGACCGATGGCGAGCAGGCGAGGCTCTCAGGTTAGTTACGCGATGGCCGCTTACTGTATTATGTTATTCTTTTTAGTACAGTTAATTTTCTGGCGGAATTTAAAGACGTATGCCGCATCGATATAGCACCGGAATACAAGCGACGCCGTTTTAGACCAGATTTATGGCGCGTACTTCAAAACGGAGCTAGATTTTAACTAAGGATTGTGTGTTTTTCTGCGCCGATGCAGGCCTAGCTGTAGCGAGCTAGCGGCTGCCGAAGCGGGCAATCCTCCTCAAGACGCGCGCTCCGTTGTGTGAGTCTTTTGGCACACCGTGTAGCAATATTACTTTTTAGTTTTGGGAATTGGTTTGATTTCGTCTGCTAGAAGTAATTGGCATTTGTTCTGTACTCTCTATACTGTCACATCATTTTGAAGTTGAACTTCAGCTAGCTCGCGCTGGGAGCAGCTAGCAGCTTCAGTGTTTATTATGTTAGCTTGTTGTTGTCGCTGCTAGTCGATGTGTCAGATAGCATTTGTTATTCAAAAACTGCAGTGCTTTACGTTTATTACGCCGTAAAGCACAGTGGGGAGCCGTGCTTTTATTTCCCACTCTGTATTGCGTGTGATAAATGTGATATTTTAAGTTGAATATAGCATATTTGTCTAACTTCAATATAAGGGACGTAAAATCAACTTGACAGATTGACTACAAAATATTAGTCAGTGTCTTAATAAAGAGGTGACAACAAATTACAGCTTCCTAAATACAGACCTCTTTGTGTGTGTTTTTATATACAAAGTGAAAACTTTGTGGAGCGGTATATGTCACATTGTTTGCTGTTATTGTTTTGATGATTACAGTGTGAGGTTTTCAAGATTATAGTGTTTGCTGCTCTTTTGCATGTGGACACTGTCAGATTGGTTGCTTGGTGAAATGAATGAGCTATAAGTGAAAAGCTTTTCTTACTGCGACTTCAACATGAGTCGTTCAACCTCTCATTCTGGTCTCTTTCTCTGCAGTGAAAACTCTTTTATGAAGTGAACTCACTTAAAGAGTTTAGTAGAATTTTGCCAGGAAAAGTTTTAGAATTTTTTTCACGTGTTACTATAAAAAATAGTGTGTGATATAACTTGTGTTTGTTTGCTGGTTTTTATTGTATTTGTTATACTTGTATTTTTTAAATGGTTTTTGCCATGAAAACAGCCTTTGATGCTGACATGGCATTAAGTAAATATATACTACTACTACTACTCCTACTTTCTCTGCAGTGATAGCATGGATCCGGACAGTGGGGCGGACACTCAGCGAACTCTCAGTCTACAGTGGAAGAGCTATAAGCTAGTACAAGACCCTGCTCTCCGACGGGTTACTCAGAAAATCTACAGATATGATGGGATTCACTTTAATGTACAGGTATGGACATAATACACGATGACTGCCAAACGGAGCATACTTGCACGCGTATAAGTGCATACTTATGTAAAGTCTGTGTGTTCTGCTTGTTTTTAGGATTCAGGATTCCCGCCTGTGGGGGACTTGCGTGATCCAAGACCCCGCAGAATCTGGTCTAGACACACAGAGCTGTCGCTGCCAGTGCCTAAATTTAAGGTATGCCTCCCTTTTATTATCATTTCAATTTATTACGCTGATTTTCTGGTGAGCTCTTTATGTTTGTCTGTTTTTGTATTGTACATGCTAGATAGGGGAAGTCGTGGCCTAATGGTTAGAGAGTCGGACTCGTAACCCAAAGGTTGTGGGTTCGAGTCTTGTACCGGCAGGGATTGTAGGTGGGGGGAGTGAATGTACAGCACTCTCTCCCACCTTCAATACCACGACTGAGGTGCCCTTAGGCACCGAACCCCCAACTGCTCCCAGGGTGCCGCAGCATAAATGGCTGCCCACTGCTCCGGGTGTGTGTGTGTGTGCATGTTTATGGGGTTTATGAGGACACAAATTTGTATAATAACATGGGTATGAGGACATTTTCAGTGTCCCCGTAATTCAAAAGGCTTATAAATGATTCAGAATGAGTGTTTTTGAAAATCTAAAAATGCAGAAAGTTTCCTGTGAGGGGTAGGTTTAGGGGTAGGGTTGGTGTAGGGCAATAGAATATACGGTCTGTACAGTAGAAAAACCATTACGCCTATGGAGAGTCCCCATAAACCATAAAATCAAACCTGTGTGTGTGTGCACGTTGGATGGGTTAAATGCATACTTGGCCACATGTCACGTCACTCATTCACTTAAAAAAAAAAAAAAAAAAACTTTTCTTCATTTTCTGCTTGTTCTTCATAGTTGGACGAGTATTACGTAGGACCTATACCACTTAAGGAAGTGACGTTTGCGAGGTTGAATGATAACATCAAAGAGCCGTTCCTGGCAGAGATGTGCGCCAAGTTTGGTGAGGTTGAGGAAATGGAGATTCTGTTTCATCCCAAGACTCGGAAGCACTTGGGCTTGGCCCGTGTCCTCTTCACCAGCACTAGAGGGGCCAAAGACACCGTCAAACACCTGCACAATACTTCTGTCATGGGAAACATTGTCCATGTCCAGCTAGATATCAAAGGTGTGTTTCTCTCTTGATTGTTTTTGATCATTAATATTTTGAGGTATATACTTTCTACATACACTGCTGTTCAAAAGTTCAGGGTCAAGGATTTTTTTAGTTTTGTTTTGGAAAAAAATGCTTTTATTCAGCAAGGGACAAGGACATTTGTAATGTTACAAGAGTTTTTTTTTATTGCAAATAAATAGTTCTTCTGGACTTTCAATTAATCAAATAATCCTAAAAAAATTCTATCATGGTTTCCACAGAAATATAATGCAGCACAGCTGTTTTCAATGTTGCGGATCATTTAAAATGTTTCTTGAGCACCAAAGCAGCATATTACAATGA